ATGTAGCTCGTAGCAACCCATCTGGAAACCTCTACGTAATAACGAATTCCACAATAGAAGGCAAAAGACGATGTGGAAGGCCAAAAAGCAGATGGATTGATAGAATAAACAAAGATGAAACAGAGCTGCGTGCAGATAAATGGAAAGAAATAGTCCAAGGCAGGTAGAGATGGAGTAGGCTTGTTAAGGCGCCAAAAGATCTACACAGTCTGTAATGCCAACAAGAACAAAAAAAAAAAAACACACTACATATGGTGAGCCTAATGAAGTCGTGGTGCATGTAACCATTATTGAATGAACTCTCTTCTTTGGAGCATACGACTACCAAGTGTTTTACTCAAATTGAATCACTATTGGAAATTCAATCGCTACAATTAATCTTTTGACATGAAGTTTTTTTTTTTTTAAACTTATTTATTGAAAAATATTACAATCTGTCTCTAGGACATTTGTAATAGAGTTCACAGATCACATTCACACTCTATGTACAATAAATAAAATAAATTATACAGAAAAATAATATATATACAATAAATAAGAATAAAATAACCTAAAAATAAATAAATAAAAAGAACACATACACACCTATATACAATATTTACAATTTGGCGAGAGAACTCCAAACCAGACTTGTCCCTTCAACTGTGGAGGGAAAAGTATGACTCCAGGAGTTCCCTGCACTCCTCTCTCAACCGCGTCACTAGGGCTAAACCCAGTGGAGATTGAGGCAAGAGTGCTTTAGCCACATACACTCATTGACATGAAGGAAAGTAGTAATTAAATTTTTTGATAATCAGTTCTAAAATACTTAGTACTCACTACTCCGAGTAGCATTTGCCCATCTCTGCTTAGGAGTTACTTTAGATACAAAAATAATAATAAAATACATATTTTTTGTTTGATTTTATTTCGGTTAGTATTACAGACATTCATGTTTTTGAAATTCCTTCTCTGCCTATCTTGGGCTATTGCTTTTCAGTTTACAACACATTTTTATAAATTATTAATGCGAAAATATTGGCAAGAAGTATTAAATGAGATAGTAACCTTGAAGAACGTTTTGAAATGGTTACCACGATTATGCACTTAAGCAATTAAACCCATTTTCCATTGGGAACATAATTTACAAAAAAAAAAAAAAAAAAAAAAAAAAAACATAAATAATATTTTTTTTTTATTTTCTTGATATCTAAGGTTCTGAAAAATGAGTAATGATGTGCATTTAATTTAAATAGCAGAAAAGTGTAGATGAGTCATATCGCTCGGTAGTAATTTGATTAATTTTGAAATGCATTTGAGCAATCATGATAATAAACAAATTTAAAAAAGAGGTGATTTTTAGAAACCATAGAATTTAAGATGCAACTAAAAAAAAAAAAAATTCCTTAAAAAATATTTTTCTAATAACTTTTAAATTCAAACACTTATTACAAGAATTAAATTATGCCGACAAACTTTGATTTAAAAAATTAATTTTATAAAAAAATTCCCTATTAATAAAATATAATACTTTTAGTTTAATAAATCATTAACTATAGTTTAGATTAAGATATTATATTTTGAGGAAAAAATTAATTTTTCTCCCCTCCCTCTTAAACCAATAAGAAAATTCGATGGTGGTAGAAATACTGCTATTTCTATAAAATAAATTCGTTTTTCTATCCACGCCCGAAAACGTGATGGTCAAATCGAATATATCACTTCTTGCGTTCGACTGGCTAGTAATTGATTTGTTTTACTGTTTTTTTTTTGTTCTTGTTTTTATCTGTTTTAGCTGTTAATACTATTTTATTGTATAAAATATTGAATTTCTTACACATTCTTGTTATATGTGATATTTTTTACTTAAATATACAAGCGTACTACAAACGGTTTCCTCATAAATTAATCGGACATAAAACATAAATATGTTTAGAGAATTTATAAAGGGAATACTATACATCTTTTGGCAGAGAATACTATAAGAATGAAAATGTCCTGGTTGAGGGATCTGCTTACATAAACATGTAAGTAAATTCCGGCCAAGGAAGGGATGCCACACGGTACAACTTCTCCCCATTTTTTTTATTTTTTACAAAACACCGACGATGTCTGTTTCTAATGTGTGACCTCAACCCTTCTGCTGATTACCAAGGATGTCCTTAAGAGGAACCAAAAAAACTTATTTATGTATATTATCAAGTAGTCAACGATTTTATACTTAACTAAAGCTACTTCTGTTCTTAATAAAACAATACTATTTTGATAAACAATTAACTACTACTCTATTTTAAAATGTTTGTTTCTTATGGATGCAGGAATTCTTAATATGAAAGGATAACGAACTTCATTGTTGAGCTGTATTATGAATAAACTGTATTTTCTATTTTTCTTTCCACTTTGCCCAGAGGCTAAAAAAGTATAATAAAAAATCATGTTTATAGTTTTGTTTTTCATTTGTACTTTTTGGAAATATTTCATCATCCTACCTCTCTACAGCATAAAATGAGACAGTACTGAATAGAAGCAAAAGCATTCCCGAAACTTAAAAGTTAAAATAAACATAAACACTATTGATTTTTAATTTTGACTTGTGAGAAAAGTGGTAGGAGAAATAAAATGTAATGAAGAAAGACCAACAAGTAAATTGATAAATAAATAAACTTATTTGAGAGACACGCCCTGAAATAATTCAAAAGTAAATTTTTTGCATTATCTTTTTTTATAAACACGTCAAATAGGGGTATCCATAATGTGGTTGTATGGCACAAGTTAAGTGTTGAATGATTTTAGGAGGGCATATTTCTTCGGGGTTTTAGAATTTTCAGGGGGCACATATTTACGAGACTATGGATTTTTAGAGGTAACCATATTTTTTATGAAAAAATAACTGAGTTACAATTTTTATAATTTTACTTTAATTTGTATTGTTTTTAAGAAGAGGTGAACAATAATTTTTTTTGGGAGAGGGAGGGCATGCGCCATTGGGCCTGATGTAAATCCTGATCCAAAAACATGAAGTTTTTATTATGTTGTGCTTTGGCTTCAGGGAAATGTATGTAAAAATTTTAGAACAATCCTACTATTAAAATAACAGGCTTCGCTAACATTCAAAATTATTTTTTATTTTATATTGCTTTAATAATTATTAAGATATTTTCGTTCTTGATTTAATTAGCATACATTCCTTATTAATAAAGTGGATTATTCAAGAAGATGTTACAATTTTTAGAATGATTATTTAAACCGTTACAGTTACTCATCAATATTAACAGATTACATCCGAAGGATATAGGCGCAGTCATCAATAACCGAAGAGTAGAATTTCACTATGCAGCTCAGCTACTGACAGATAAAGCGTGATAAAAACAGGCAACAACGAGATACAAGTCAGGAATACTGATCACAGCTACTGATTCGATGAATTTAATATCACTACTACTATTTGTAACAGTCGCAATAGTTTCTATCTCCATTTTATCATTCTCATATCTGGATAGATATCACACAATGTGGCATAATAATAAGAGATAATAAAAAAAAAAAATCGACAGTCTTGCTTTCGAATAAAATGAAGTTTAAACATTATCATGATGTAGAGTGTCGGCAAAAAAATTAAATAATACTATTTTTATAATTTAGTATTTATTTGACCGCACCCTCCCCCCCTATCAACTACTTCTCATTCAAACATTATACTATCAGAAATATAACCAATCGAAAGGCGAATAAGCTCTGTCTAAACATATAATGCGTTAATTTATTGTATTATTCCTGTATAATTTATTTATTTATTTAGACATATTATAATCCGTCCCGTGGTCAATAATTATAGTGATATATGAGCTCATTCATACCAATTTATTTTATTAAAGTTTAATTATTTAAACTTTAAAGCTTATTGAAAATAAAGCAAAACAAAGTTTTTAATTAAAATGGGTTAATTGGAAATAATAAAGAATTCAATATCCAGAGTGCCTCTACCCAATTTATAACCACTCTTTTTTTTTTTTAAATCAGATTCGAGATTTTTAAACTATATATACTTATAACTGAATATTAATTAATTACTAGATATATTTATATTTTATTTCATATATCAGGGTTTTTTAAAAAAATATTGTATATAATGCCGTTAAATCCAAAAGTTATTGATGTGTTTTAAAAGAGCAACAATTCACCTTTCCACTGGTTGTAACAGCGGCGAATTAGGAGAAAATCTTGACGAGTTATGCTTTAGTGAACGGCAGAGAAAAAAAATCTAATAAGAATTGAAATGATTACTATGGTAACCAGATCAACACAGCACTACTATATATATATATATATATATATATATATATATATATATATATATATATATATATATATATATATATATATTTTTTTTTTTTTCTACTTGAGGAAACATTTATAGGTAGTAATAGGGTGGGCACCAATATTTCTATTTTTAACGAAGATATGCCGGATTGACATCCGGCATGTCTTCGTTAAAAATAGAAATATTGGTGCCCACCCTATTACTACCTATAAATGTTTCCTCATGTAGAAAAAATGGAGAGTCCTTTATTTCACCTCATCTACTATTCATTTTTAGAATAATATCGATTGTTTGTTTTTTTTATGTTCCAGCAGTTTAAATTATTTAAATTTTTATTATATTTATTACGAGGCCCCACGGTGTGAAGAGTAACGGAAAACCCGCGACATCAGCTAAATCAATTTTTTATTTTTAGAACTCCAAAAACTAGATGAACTGTTTTATTGATAACTTATTAAAATTCGTTAGAATATTATCAGTTGGCAGAATATATATATTTCACTATTTCACTATTTTTCATTAAATAGTTCAATGAAAAAAAATCGATTTATCCGATTTCGCGAGTTTTCTCTTACTTCACCCATTTACCCATTTCATGTTCAAACGCCACAACGTGTTTCTTGGGTTTCCTTGATATCCTTTTCGTCTACGAACAATGTTTCAAGTACATGTGATCATTAATTTTCATAAATTGTTCCACTTACCTCCTGATCGAGGAGAAATACTGATCAAGAAAGTCTTTGGCGTGGTTGAGAAGTTCCTCTTTGCTCCTTTGGACAGGTTTCAAGTTGTACTGAAAGACCTGGCTGCCCAAGCACACTCTCGAAGTACATCCTGCGTCCTGTAACAGAAAAAATTAAATATAATTCCTCTAAACGTGTTAATAAAATAAATTTCTCTTCCTATTCCGTATATGTCTAATATAATTACTATTTATAAAAATTTTCATTAAAATGATGAGGAATTCGGAGGAATTTGAAATGTAAAAAAAAAATTCACTTTCACACCGATAATGAAACTGATAGAAACGTGGCCTCAGGAATACCAATGCACTAAAATTGAGAGTTTAGGATTTTTTAAATTTAAATCACTCAAAGAAGCCTATATCCTAGGCTAATTTGTCTATAGATTGCAGAAGCTTAAATGAAAACATGTAACTAATGTGGGATGAGATTAAGTATATTTTTCTGGAAGAATCGTAAGTTATCGTTCAAGCAACAGGAAGTCATAGCCACCAATTTCTAGAAAATTTATATATTTTAACTCGGAGGAAAATATATATATTTTTTTGGGATCCTCCCCTTCCTCGCCGCTAAGGCTATACGGGGTTTTCCAGAGCAAGGGGGTGTGGGCGGGGATTTAAAAGACGCCTTAGCACCGGGACGCGAACTCGTGATTACAACTCGAAAGAATAGCGATTGAATTAAGCTTTGACAAAATGTGGACCTGACCCTTCAATGAATAGAAATAGATAGTTTTTCTTTGTTAAATACAGCATATAATTTACTATCGGAGTACTATTTATTTATTTAAGCAATGATTTTTATAATTTTATAAAATTTTAGGTGAATTTCACATTTATTCATTCCACAATAATAATTATTACAATAATTGATCATCTCAAATGGTGAATATATATATATATATATATTGTTTTACATCCCTATGTGATATAATATAGTGATTAAATATTGTCAAATAGAATAAGTAATTAACGTCAATATTTAATTAAATTTAAATTGTAAAATAAAAATGTTTTATGTATTTTTTGATGGTATAAAGGCCGAAAAGTTGTCATAAGAAATAATATTATGAAATGAATAAATACACGCTGAAAGGAATAATAGCACAAATTATTTAAACACCTATTAATTATTTTTTTAATAACGCCTTTTTTTTATGGTGACAATGGAGCAGATCAGAAAAAATATACAGCCGATATCAATGTACCCGAAACACCAATGCTTCAACTTTTCAGACACAAAATTAAAACTATGTTTATGCAAACAGTTTCTCAAATTTAGTGAATGCATTAGCATCTGCATCACATTTGCATTGAAATATTTCCATTTCACAACTTGGGGAGGATTCCCCACTAGTTACCGGGAGCAACTTTAGATTTAATTGCCAATATTACTCACAGAATTCAATTTAAATTTTTATAATTCTCGAAGATCCATTACAGAGAAAAATATTTTAATGCTTTTAAATATATATTTTGCATTTAAAGCACAAATATGTACAAGTAGATTCTGATTTTTCATAAATTTTAAGCCATTTCCACCAATGTTTTATTTATTTTACATTATAAATTTTGACGACGTTTCGTCATATGCTGGGGCCATTTTCAGGTATGAAAATCTATTATATTATCATTATTTATTATTTATATCAATAATTTTTCTTTTATTAATATTATTTGCTTCATGTATTTGCGTTTTTGAAATCAGATCTACGTTAATTATATGTTATAACCAAACCGATGTTTTTCTTAGCTAAAGAAAAAAAAGATAATGGCTATGGATACGACAAAAGAAGACTGAATAAAGGTAATAATAAATAGAGATAAAGTAGGAAAATAAAAATATATAAATAGTGATATAAAACATAAATGAATGAAATATTTAATATATGTATAATACAATTAAAAAGTTAAATTGTAATATGATAATAATTTATTTATTTATTTATATGATATTTACAACTGTATACAAAAATACATCTGGTAAATTTGCACATGGATATATGACATGGAACACATGTTGAGAAACTACCCATTGGTAGCACTCTAATGATAATAATAAATTAAAAATGGTCTAAGAGCTGGCCGAAACATAGTCAAAAATAATATTATAAAATAACTTAAACATCGGTCTTTAATATATTAAAAATGAAAACCTTCTTAAGACACCAATGACAGGTAAAATGAACAGAATATAGGTATATAAATTGTTTAATAGCACAAGATATAAATTATTTGTGAAGAATGTAATGTTTAAAATTTCTTTTTTATTTCATAAAATTAAAAGCGAGTTTTAATTTTGTTTCAAAATATTTATGAATTCAATATTTTATCCCTTCTTCCTCCAATATGTTCTTTTTTCCATACACAACAAGGTATTGAAAAGAGCCCCGATGTAGCTTATATTAAAAGCCTGGCTGTAAATCAAAGCATCATAATTTTATTTAGCCGAGTTAAAGGTAATTAAAATTCCTTGGTATTAATTAAATACCTTACGTGCTCTTGCTGATGGAAGTGAATTAGCTTCTGACATAGCAAACCAAGCCACAGCAAACGCCACTCGTAGTTTCATCAGTTAATTTACTGTTACATAGCTTATATGTTATGTTAACATAGTTTAAACACCTTTCCTATCTATTTGTTATTAGATCTTATCAATCAATTCAATTGCATCTTGAAATAAACAAAAATAAATTTTCAAAAATAAAATATATCATAAATTAGGAGTTTTCAAACTGGATCCCGCATACCCAATATTTTTTTTTAACTTTATTTCTTCACCCACACCTGTCGGTAAGAGTACAGGTAGTGGCTCGATCGGCGTGACGGAGAGGAATTGCCAGCGGCATCTCTTCCTGTCTTGATTTTAGCATTTTTTTAAGCGAGAAAATCCCTCATCCAGCGCTTTTTGAGCCTCCTAAGTGTGTTTTCGGGCATGGTAAATGTAGCCATACTTTGTATAAGTATGTTAGTATGTCCATGTATGTTATTGTGAAATCGTTCGTAGTGTGTCCGTATGTGATCGTTAACTGTTGGCATTTGAAGGTCTTTATGTAATCTAATGTTTGTGAAGTAACATGGAGCTTTATTTATGTTCCTGAAAGTTTTGGATTGAAAAGTTTGTAGTTTTCGTATGTGGGTCGTTTTGGCTGTCCCGTAAATTTGTGAAGCGTAGGTCCATATGGGCTTAAGTAGGTAATTGTAAGTGTTTAGTTTTTGTTTTAAGTTTTAAGTTAGAATTTTGAGCCTCTTGAGAGAAGTGATTATAACAGTTGTAGTCTGAGGTTTAATGTTTTCCTTTTTTTGTTGATATACACAATCTTCAAAGCAAAAGTTGTAAATTTGGAAAATAGAAATTATAAAAAATCATAAATTTATATTTATTAATAACATAAACTAGAAGAAATTCCAGTAGGGGATACTTTTACAAAGGAAGTAGTAGCTTTGGTAAAGAGAAAGGTTCTTCAGAAATGGCAGAGTCTCTCTCTTGTTTTAAGGTACAAGAAGTTGAGAGTAATACACAGGCGGATCTATGGGGAGAGGATGAGAGGGCTTTCGTGCTGAAGCCCCTCCCCCAAAGTGGTAAAATGTAACCATGTTTTATAATAAAAAATATTAAAAAATTACCTCTTAAAGTATTATCGCCCATGGAATTACATTTAATAGGACTTCAAGAATCACTTAAAAACCATTTCATATAGGTAGTTCATTTCTTTCTTTTTTTTTTCCAAACTAATTATCGTTATATAAATGAAAAAAAAAAAATGTTTTCGGGCTGAAGTCCATTCCCAAAATTAAATCCTGGATCCGCTAGTGGACTGATCGAACCTTCTGTAGTTCTAAGTCGAGTGGACCTCCAGTTGAACAGAAGAGAAGAAATCATCCTAGCAAGACAACGGATCGGACACTCTTGAGCACCTAATGACGAAGTGGACACCTCCTCTTTGTGTCTGCTGCGGTATCAATTTAACATTGAGACACATCTTCACTGAGTGGTTATGCCTATGAAGCACAACAGAATGCAGTGGAGTTGAAGAATAATATTGCTGAAATTTTGAAAAACACTCCCAAATGGGAAAATAAATTGTTTTTATTTACTCAAATAATAAGCTATATAACAAAATTTAATTTTTACTTTAACTTTTTTGAATTTTTTTTAATGTTTTAAATATTTTCTACTTTTAAGTTTATGTTTAAATTTTATGTTCTGTAATATAAATATTGTGTGTAAGTGCTAAAATGACACGCAAGAGGTTGGGGGCAGCTCATTGTTAGAAATAAATAACTGAACCAGTTTTAATTCAATAATTTATTTTATTTTTATATTGTTTATTGAAATTTACAACTATATATAAAAATACATCAAGTATGGGGCAAGTTTCTAAACTAGGGCTAATTCGATCAATGGATTTATCAAGCAATTGGATCCAACACCGATGGACAGTTATTTATGGTGAATTTAAGCGACCTGATGGATTCTAGCGGAAGGTAAGGTAACATTCCTGGAGTGATGCAAAACACAAGAAAAAAATATGTAAAGGAATAATTTTATTTTTATAATCAACAATTCAGTAGGTATCTACTGAATTGTTGGTTATAAAAATATAATTATATATAGATATAAAATAAACTTAATATAAATATGTTAATTAAATAGAGAAATAACAACGCTGAGGTTACAACGAGGCTACATATAGTGGTTCCGTAGACGCCAAAAGCCCACAGTGATTCAATCACCGAATAAAGGAAAACGCTGAATTTAATCCATGCGTTTAGGAACAGTTTGATAGATGTGATGAACTCAGCGCATAGTTTAGAAAATTGTATGGTAAAATGACCAACAGTTGAAGAGAAACTTTAAATGACACTACATAATAATATTTAAAATTTTATCTGGAAAAATTTTTTAATGTATATTTCACCAAAGATCGGTGAATATTCTATTATATGTTACTATCCATGATTTTTTTATTTAGTCCGACAAGAGTGCCACGGCAAAAATAGTTTGAGAACTGCTGCCCTAGCCCTTATCTATGCACAAAGTTATATATATATATATATATACTGTGTCATATATTTTGCTATTGTAGGTACTTAAGGATCATAATAACAAAGACTTAAGCAAATAATATTTTGATTTCAGGGAATTACTATTGATTCATTTTATTTACAAATTATATAAACTAATTCTAAAGTTCATTACATAAAGTTCCTGGTCAAATCAATATTTAAGATATATTTAGTGATCCTTCAAGTATACCTATAGATCCCTTGTAAGTACTTAGTAAAAATATTTCACCATGTCGATTGTTAAGGGTTAGTGGGCAGGCCTACTTGATCTCTTGTTCTCGAATACTAAATACTGTTTGGGGTCGTCATCGGAGTAAGTGTCTGTCATGGGAATTCGTCTGATAATACTACGCGAACAGTATTCACCCATCCAAATACTGAGTGACTTGTTTCACCCCTCAATCCTGTGAATATATTACATACCTAAAAGATGGTTTCATACGTTGACAAAAGCATTAAACTGTCATCCTCAAATCAGCTTTTGTTCGGTATCCTCTCATGGAAGCGATAAACATTTTCTTTTATAATTTTTTTTTTTCGTCTGAACAATAATGACGTAATACTCCAATCCGAGTCTTTATACTAAGGCCATGGCTTACAAGAATTGCATTGCGGTAGGGCACCCAGAAGTGGACCAATAAGAAGCGAAGAGATTGGTGTTTGGTAGCGGGGTTGGTATTTCTAATACAGAGCTGGGGTAGTTATGTTAAACTGTCCCGGGTGGTCCTACATATTAACAAGCCTTCCACCGCCCCCGATCTAACCTTTGTCCCATCTGTACATTACCGATCCCCGAGGATAAAACATATTGCGACGGAAATTCAAGTGCCCTTAAAGGGTCAATTTAGTTTAACAACAGCCGTTCACTAGACTGAATTATATTTTTATTACAAATTTACATTCCTCTATTATATTTTTGAAATGTGGGAATATATGATTTAGCAAACAATTTGTCATGGATCTTGTACGTAATGAAAAGGAATGCTATAATTTACAAACGATCTGATGGATTCCTGGAGGGATGCAAAACACATGAAAAAAATATGTAAGGAAATAATTCTATTTTTATAATCAACAATCCAGTAGATAGCTACTGAATATAAAAATAGAGTTACATATAGATATAAAATAAACTGAATATAAATATGTCAATCAAATAGAGAAATAACAACGCTGAGGTTACAACGAATACTACATACAGCGGTTCCGTAGACGCAAAAGCCCACAGTGATTCAATCACTGAATAAAGGTGAGTGCTGAATTCCATCCATGATTTCCATCCATGCTTTTAAGAACGGGTTGATAGATGTGATGAGCTCAGCGCACAGTTAAGAAAATTGTATGGTGACATGAGCATCAGTTGGAGAGAAACTTAAAATAACACTCCATAATAATATTTAAAATTTTACCTGCGAAAAAATTTGTAATGTATATTTCACCACGAAATCTATAATATTCTATGTTACTACCCGATGATTTTTATTTTATTTTATTTTTTTAAAGTCCGATAAAACTGCTACGGCAAAAACAGTTTGAGAACTGCTGCCCTAATACCCCATTTGTAATTTCTACACCCATACATTGTAGATTAAAACATTAATTTGGATCTATTATTTTTTTAAGACATATGAACCAAGCATTACTAACTATTCCGGATAGCAGAAAATTACGGATAAGTCCGGGCCATCGCTTTGATTTTTTGGGCCAAGATTTTACCAGGCGCACCCTCACTCAGTTCTAAATTGGCTAGTAGCATATTTTCATACGTTTGCGAATTCTTACGAATCATACCAAAATATACTTATATATTTTCGCCAATAGCCGATAAATTCCTAATAGCTATGTTATTATTTTTTTTTAACAGAAAGTGTAACTTCAGTCTCGGAGTCAGAAGGATCCTTAAGGATCAGGTCCTGGGTTTAACTGACGTATTATTAAATATATATTTTAAATGCACTCCTAGATTTCTCACTACATTATTTTATGGTATATTCATATGATACATGTCCTTTATTTCTGACAATACTTTACTCTGGGTCGCTTGAGGGCAGAAGTTGGCGAGTTGGAAAAACAAATAATTCTAATTAACAGTGAAAATTGCTCCTACCAATTCCAATTAGCAGATAAACCGTTGCTACTAATTTTGACAGCAATTAAATGTAACTCGATTATCCAATAAAATGTTAATTATCGTATTAAAGATTTGTGATAAATATTTCCAAAAGGATTAATTAGTAATTAAGGCTTGTTACTGGAAGAAAGAGATATAAGTAAATGTGCTTAATAGATTCTTATCAATCGTCAATTAATTTTTTTTCAATCAATTGAAAAGCGATAATATTACGTTATAATTTCATGTGATTCATGAGTGTTAATTATGACATACATCCATCGTCGGTTTATTGTAAGAAATTACTAAATGCATTTTTGACATAGGTTAACTTTCAAATTAGGAGAGTGTTGGATATGTGAGTAAGGTAATAACTTCCTATGCTCAAGGTC